ACCAACGTTGTTATTATATTTTATGCAATAAGGATGCTATTTTGATTTTGTAAAACTAAATGACTTATGCTCTTTTGATTTTGTAAGACAAAGGTCTTATGCTATTTTGATTTAGTAATGCAAATTGACATTATTTAATACAATGTCTCAAATTATCTTTCATATTCATATTAATCTTTTTTATTTTGTGCATATTATTTTACTCATTAGCCAATAGGATTTAGAGTTAAATAAAAAACCAATATAACCTATCAAATTAAATCACTTTATTTTCCTAGCCAATAAAATTAAAAGCCTTAAAATATTTTTATCAATCCATAGATTTAACAGGGGTATTTCGCTTACCTCAATATTCCCTCTGCATTCCCACTTATATACATACTAGTCTTTTTAATGACACACATGTATTGACTATATTCATTCTTTATACTCGTTTAATTTTTTATTTATATAATACTAAAGCATAAATTTTTATTTACATTGAAATAAATACGATGGTTAATTTATATCACACTTTGTCTTAAACACTACTTGTAATGCTACTTTTTTTTCTTGAGAAATATAATTCATTAATAATAAAATCAAGTATTACAAATACTCAATTAGACCAGACATAGAACTTACTATCATAATTAATAGAAAGTTCGATGATTCTTCAACAATAAAATAATTATCTATATTCTTTTGAATAATAAAACTAAAATTAAAAAAAAAACAATATTGGACTTTTCCGCTTGAAGATAACCTTGACTGATATAAATTTTCATAGTAGCAACAATCAATATTGGACTTTTCCGCTTTGTGAGATAACCTTACCTGAATATAAATTTTCATTTAGTATTGAATAATAAAACTAAAATTAAAAAAAAAACAATATTGGACTTTTCCGCTTGAAGATAACCTTGACTGATATAAATTTTCATAGTAGCAACTGGTCCTTTAATTGATTTGGACGACAAAATAACTTCTCTGAATCTTCTACGCTTGGATTGCTTTTCCAAAAACTTGTTGCGTATGACGTATACAGATGAGTTCAAGCCACTATGCGTTAATAGAATCAATGGAGTAACATGCAGTACTACTAGGCTTCATTGATCGAAGATATAAATCAATAAAATAAGATCTAAATTCTCCAACCAAATAAAATCAAATATCATACCTTTTAAAAATAAACCTTCACAAAGAATGAACTAAACCCTTATGGAAGAAGGGACAAAAGAACTCTAAATATGGAGACAAAGCAACAATAATAAAAAAATAAATAAAAAATAGATATATTAAAAGAAAATAGATATGAGTTTATTAAAAATGAATACAAGATTAGGAGCGAGAAAAAAAAAAAAAAGAAAAGTAAGGGGCTACAATTGATTAACATAGCTAGCCCCAAACAAAAGATAGGATTAGATTTTGTAATGCTACTTTTATATACTTAATTCTATTTTTATATAGTGAAGTGGTTTCAAAATAAAGTTGAATTCAACTTCTAAACCTATTTTCAGTCGTTAATTTATACTCAGATTATTGAAACTCTAATAGATGTCTAAAAAAGAAAATCAAGCATCACTCAATCACCAACCTCCTATCTGCAACCCCAACCTCAACCCCAAATCATATACATATAAAATGAAAAAGTAAAAAAAAAAAAAAAAATCATTTCTTACTTCTAGTTAAAGAACAAATGAAAAGTGATTTGAATTGTTTAAAAATATCTTGAGTCACAATGATGGTGGAAATTATTTTGGCTATATTGATACTTTATTACATTAGAAAAAAGAAAAATATATGCAAATATACATATCCTTGAAACCTCAAATATTGATACAAAACAGAAATATATAGTTTTTCTTTCCAAATTTTCAAACACTATTTTTTTTGTTCAAATCAAACAAATTTAGCATATAAGAGAAAAAATATCAAGAAAATAAAAATTATTTAATCATCAAGATGCCATCTATTTATTGCAAAGGAAATACATACTTCTTACTAAATGAATGAAAGTGATAGTAATTCCAAATTAATTCAGTAACGAAAAACAAAATAAATAATAAATAATAGATAATAATTATTATTAAGAATAAAACTCTCCAGAACTCAATATATAATAAGAAATAAATTACATTAAACAAATTGCTAATTTGATCTTAAAAATCAACTCCTTCAATTGGAAAAGTCATGATTTAATGAAATAATTCTTGAAAAAATATATAATGAAAATAGAAAATAAAAAACCAATCTCTCCTTCAAAAATTCCTAAATTCCTGAAATATGGATATTATATATATCTATATATACTTCCCTTTTTCCTTATATCTCTTTCCTAAGTAAAATCTTTTAAATTTAAATTAAATATTTAAAAAATAATTATGAAAAATAACGGTATGAAAATTTCTAAATATACTCATTATCTTACGTTTGTTATTTTAAAAAATAAAATTCAAAAAGTACAAAATTTAAAGTTTTAAATGGTTAATTATCTATTAAGGATAATTTTTTAAATAAAATTTAATTGCCCATCATTAAGGTTATTTTAGAATATTTTAAATTGTAATAAGGACACTATTGAAAGTGTAATTATTTTTCTATTCCCACATTTAAATATATTATTTCTTTTTATGATGTGCGAGGCATGTTGACTATACTCATGATATACTCATTTTTTATACTCGTTTAGTTTTTTATTTATATAATTAAAGTATAAATTCTTATTTAGATTGAAAGAAATATAGTAGTTTTTATATATACAGTAAAATATTTTTTTTTTAATTATATATCTTGTACTCTAATATCTTATTGAAAAAAATTGATATATTTGTTTCTCTCTTTAAAATAGTAATTTAAATATAAAGTATATCATTTATATTCTCTTCAATATACTAATTTATATAATTTTAATATACACTAGTTGCTTTTATTTTTTATTTAAGTAGTAAATTGATTTATGAAAAATCATCATATAACTTTTATTTTACGTTTTATAATTAATTTACATATTTAGTTAATAAATTTCACTATAATCTCTTTTAATAAATAAATATACTTTAACAATACTAATCTAATAAACTAAATTAAATATCTATAAATAATAATAATTTTTATTTTTTTAGCCAATCAAAATCACGAAGTGATTTAAAAATTTTATTGTTAAAAAATTATATTCCTTAATAGAAAGAGTAGGATTTGAATTAAATAAGATATCAATATAATTAATCAAATCAGAGATGTTTAAAAATAATAATTTTTTATCTTATTTTTTGGCCAACCAAATTAGAGCACAATTTGTAATTAAAGAAATTTAACCATTTTGTAATTTAAAGAAATTTTAACCATACCCATTTTTAAATTAAAAATCTTATCTATCTAGATATATTGATTTAACATAAATTCACAAAAAATAAAAAAATTTCAATGCCTCATATTTACATATAGTAAAATTTTAAATTTTTTAAGATTCTTAATTATTATATACTGTATTTATCTATTAAAAAAGTTAAAAAATAACATCAATTCAAATTAAGAGCTATATATATTTTTATGTTTAAAATTTTTTTAATTGGCTATGGACTAAAGTTATTTTAGGAGTATCTTAAATTTTCACAAGAAATCAATATAGAAATTCTCATATTCCTTCTATCATTCCCACTTTTTATATATAGTATATGATAGCAATAGATATATAGATAGATTATAGATTATAAATTTATTTTATTATTTATTAAGTTAAATGGAACAAAATAATGTATATAATAAATACAGAAAATATGTAATATGTATTTATCTTTAACATTTAATTTGAATCTTAAATTGTATAAATTGAAAACATATATAGTAAATAAAAATATTTAATTTTCATGTATAGCCTTATTATATAACATTAAAATAATTAAAAATATAATATATTCATTAATATAAAGTTGACATTAATTATCTATTAAGCATCATATTTAAAATAAAATTGAATTGATATATAGTTAACGTTAATTATCTATTAACTATTAAGCATAATATTTTAAAATAAAATTTAAATTGGACATCAATAAGGTTATTTTAGGAACATTTTAAATTTCATTAAGGGTATTAACTTAACATTATTTCTATTTAAGCATGATATTTTTAACGTTAATTATCTATTAAGCATAATATTTAAAATAAAATTTAATTGGACATCAATAAGGTTATTTTAGAACATTTTAAATTTCATTAAGGGTATTAACTTAACATTAATTATCTATTAAGCATGATATTTAAAATAAATTTTGATTGATTATTAACAAAATTATTGATTATTAACAAAATTATTTTAGAAGATTTAAAATTTCAGTAAAGGCATTATAGATAATTCCATTATTCTCCCTTATTCCCACTTTTATATATAGTATAGATAGATAGTATAGATATATGTATATAATAAAAATAATAAAATAATAAGAATTAAAAAATATATTTGAAAAATAAAATTTCTTAATATAATATTAATTTAATAATACATATATTACTAGATGTTATATCATAAGAAAATGAAATGCTAATTAAATGTGAAAATATATAAAACTATGACATTTGTCTCTTTATTTGCAAATCTCTATCTAATGGAATTTTAATATTATTACCAGAATATTTGAATTTGATAAATAATATTGTAAATGATTTAAAAGAAAAGACCAAAAAAATTGAGAAGATGGGAGTCTCTTTCATTGTGATTGGCCATTAATGAAAAGGGAGCCTAGTATGGTTTAGTTAACAATGAAGAACTCTTTCCTTGGCATTTCTCAACAACCAACAAGAACCAAGCAAAAAGTTTAGTTCAGTTTACTTGGAAGCAGCAAAAGAGGTTCAAGTAGAAGGTGTAAAATAATAATAAACCTCAAGAAAACAATATTCAATTACATTGAAATTGTGTGGTAATAGCACAAATAATATAATAATAATAATAAAATGTTTTATTATTTGAAGCACATAAAATAAAGGTGATGACCCAAAACCGAAACGTACCAAAACAAAATAAAAGCAAGAAAGAAAGAAAGAAAGAAAGAAAGGACGGAAGAAAAGAAAAGAAAAAGAAACCATTCCCATTACATTACATTAACATGTAATTCAGTCCATGCATGGATGATTCATGAGATGGGTTATGGTGTAGTATTTGTGTGTAGTTGGTGTGTCCGTTTGGTGCTTTTGTAAATTCTGTGCCAATTTTGCAAATGCCATTTCTCTCTTTCTTTCTCTCTCTTCACACCTCTCCCTCTTTTCTCAATTCTCTTGAGAACCTCTTCTTCTTCTTCACGCCGCCTCTCTTCCTGACCTTATCACCAACAACACTTGCACTCTCTTTGCATTTTCTTTGAAAATCAAAGAAAAATAAACACCGATCATCCTTTTAAGGATTCTGTTCTTTGTTCTTTTATGTCTTTGTTCACTTCAGCCATGGCTTTGTTGTGTCTCTCATGCTGACTCCTCTGTCACTGGTATGTATGTATATATGTTATTTATTTATTTTTTTTAATCACTGTCAGTCCTTTTTTTCCTCCTACATTGTTGTCTAATCCCTTCATCTGATTTGGATTTCCCTTGTTTTGGTTGTTTGATTGATATGGGTTATAAAGATTGGATTTTTCTTTCTTTTTGTTTTTTCTGATTTTTGAATTTTGGTTTTTGATGGTCAGGATTCTGGTTCCTGGGTGTTTGGCTCTTTAGAAAGAGTTGATTGAATTTGGGGTTCTCTTTTTAAGTGCAATTTGTATAGCCTACGAGTTTTTTTTTTTTTTTCCTTTTAATCCTTAGACGTAGTAATCGAGGAAAATGTTGTTTGAAATGGTCTGATCATCCTAACAATGGTGATCATGGCGTTAGAGTGATCTGTGTACTCCTTTTTTGAACTGGGGTTTTGGTATTGATTGATATTCTAGTATAGAATCTGATGGTGTGTGCTAATTCTTTGATCAATATTCCTCTTCAATATTTTATTCGTATTTCATTTATTATATTTTGGATTGTAGAAGTCACTTTTTTTGGGTGGAGATTGTTGTGACAACTGCAATAGCAGAAGAACAAATGGAGTTTTTTATTTTTTTATTTTTTTTTTTTTGGGAAAAGATAAAAAGCTTGTTGCCAGAATTTAGGGAAAGTTGGACGTTAGCTGCTTGGTGGATTTAGGTTAATGGACGATGTACTTTGAAAATGTGAGGTTTTCTTTGTATTGAACTTATCATTTTGTTTGTTGAATGCTGAAGCTGACAACTTTTTTAGGGAGTTCTGACAAATAAATGCATAACTTTGCTTATGAGATGGTTTTGTATGACATAGTTTTTTTTTGCATTGAAGGGCTTGTGTTTGGATCTACATTTGCCTTGTAGACATTGCTTTGTTGGACAGGAGAGGAATTCTCAATAACTTTACAATATAGAAAAAATGGAAGTTGGAAGAACTGAAATAGACTTCGATGAATTTGAGAAGCTACTTGGAGAGATACCAAATGCTACTTCTGGGAACCCACATTCGGAGGAATCTGCACCTAAAAGTGCGTCTCTAAATGGCAGCTTGGGACCCATTTGTGTGAATTCCTATAAAGGGCCTTTGACTGAAAAACTCCAAAGCAATGTAAGTCTGGATGAAAGAAAACGGTTAATCAACAAAACTCAAGGACCTCCCATCAAGAGAGTCCAATCAGAGGAAGCAAACCTGCCTGATGATCAATCCTTGACATCTGCATTTTCTGATTTGAGCTTCAATAGTGGCAGCATCTCAGCCAATTTTAAGTCCTCACCGAATCACATTGTTTCATTAGATTGCAAACTCGCTAACAGCATGAAGAATTTGGTTCCCAATATAAATTCATCAGTGGCTGGTGCTCCATCTTTCCAATCTCCAAATACTACTATATCTTGTGATTTTGATGGATACAATGTAACAAAAGTTGGCCAGGAAAGTTCAAATTTGTTAAACCTTAATGCTCAAGAACCAAAACAGATGCCAATTGGTTATTGTCAGCCTCAAACAATTGAAAATTTCTCCACTGCCTTGCCAGTTGCTCATGGGGTGCAAGGTTTTCAGCTCCTTTCTAATGTGGCTGTGCCTGGTGTTGAGTTTCCGTTAATGTCCGATCAGCGGCAGTACTTTACGGATGTTCAACCTGTGCTTCCTTGCATACATTCACAACAGTTAAATCAGCCTCACATCAGCTGGAGGAATATTGAGGAGGAGCAATTTTATAGGATGCATCAACAATACCTGTATCTGCAGCAATTGCGCAATCAACGGCTGGAAGCACAGCATCCTATTCAAACAAATGGAAATGTGGTACCAAAGTTGATGAATCGGAATGTTAGACAACCGTATTTTGAGATGCCAATCTCTCGTCAACTTCAACAATCTAATCAAGAACCATTTTGGAATAATTATGCCGCAACAAGGGGTCTGAACCAGTCGCGAAATGGTATAAATGTTTTGGATAAATTAGGAAAACAGAGTTTTCCTGAAAAGATTTTAACAAGATCACAAGGACTGAACACACTTAAAGCTGTGAAGTTTGGCTCAGTGGGAGGAAATGAAGCACTTGCCAATGTCAATCAGAATGGGAAAGTTATAACAAATGGTAACCTGCGTCACAGCTTATCCACCCCAAGTGCTGGGTGCTTTCAATTAGATAATCTGAATCTGTGGAATATGTCTCCTGATATTACTGATCTTAAAAGTGATAACCTTAGGCCTCAGCCTCAGAAATATAATTCCGTGGATGAAGTCACTGGTAGGGTATATCTTATGGCAAAGGACCAACATGGTTGTCGCTTCTTGCAAAGAAAATTCTCTGAAGGAACTCCACAAGATGTTGAAAAGATTTTTCTTGAGGTCATTGATCATATTGTTGAGCTGATGACAGACCCTTTTGGGAATTACCTTGTCCAGAAGTTGCTTGAAGTGTGCAATGAGGATCAGAGAATGAAAATACTTTGTGCCATCACTAGAAAACCTGGGGAACTTGTTAGGATTTCATGTGACATGCATGGGTTTGTCTTTCTCTCCCTATCTCTCTTTGTGTGTGTGTGTGTACATCTACTTGTGTCTTCAAGACTCAAACTTCGAATGTTCCTATCTTAAATTATCTTATCAACTTCCTCAACACAGGACTCGGGCTGTTCAGAAGGTAATTGAAACACTTACGGCTCCAGAGCAGTTTTCCATGGTAGTCTCCTCACTCAAGTCTGGTATTGTGACTTTGATAAAAAATATGAACGGTAACCACGTTGCACAACGTTGCTTGCAGTATCTAACACCTGAATACAGCGAGGTAAGAGATATGAATCTGCATATTTGAATTACTTGTGCATTTGGATGCTTGAGAATAACTATTGATTTATTCTCATTCATTTTACTTGTGCATTCTTAGCCATTTGGACTTAACACCCTAAAACTATTAAAATAAAGGAGCAAAGTTGGATTATGTCCTCATTTCAATCTTGTTTAGCTGGGGTGAAATAGTAACAGTGTAAGATGGGGAAGAGTGGTGCGAGGTAAAAGAATGATGGGTTTATGTTCCTCCATTAAGAAAGATCACGTAGTTAGATGACATCTGATAAGTTTTTATGCACCTGACAAAACTTCTTGTTTTTGTGTGTTTTGGTTCAAGTTGTTTCTTTCTTGCATTCTTTCACAAAAGGAAAGGCTGACCTATTTCATACGCCATCTTATTTTTATGTTGTATTGTCTCCTCCAGTATTTTGTTGAACTTTAAAGATCAATTATTCTCATTTGATTATCTTTTAAAAATAAAGTAGGAGTCCTTATTGATGAACATCTACCCTTGGTTATATCCCACATTATGTTAAAACCAGGAGAGAATTATAATATAATCCACTCAGCACAATTGGTCAGTAGTGAAGTTTTACTTTTGATAGTCCAAAAAGTATTAGTATTATGCTTTATGTTTGATAATGAAGTTCCCATAAAACGAAAAAAAACCACGCAAACTAATGTAGCATAATTGTTGTTGCATATAGAGTAAAGAAAGTGCATTCTCTCTTATTTCTTGTATCATGTTTTCTCCCTCAAGTGCAATGAAGTAAAGTGGAGCACTTTCAGTTATACTAGCTCTAGGATGCTGCTTCACCAAAATTCCACCAAGTGCTAAACTCTTTGATGTAGATGCTGCCAATAATATTTCTTTTAGAAATAAAAATATTATTATATATGGAAACCTAGTTTGTGGCACCTAACGAAACGCTTTTAATAATCTGTTATGCAGTTCCTTTTTGAAGCTGCAACTGCTAACTGTGTTGAACTTGCTACCGATCGCCATGGTTGTTGTGTACTTCAAAAATGCCTCAGTCATTCTGAGGGCGAGCAAAGACGCCGTTTAATCTGTGAGATCACGTCAAATGCTCTAATTCTTTCCCAAGATCCATTTGGGTACTAAACCTCTCTTCCCTTTAACTTTTTCTTTTTCTGTGCATTCCTGTGAGTCCTTGATACAAGAGAATCTGCATGGTTTTTCATGCATTTCACCATTTAATGGAATATGTTTGAATGTGGCATTGACATGATCAAACATGATGTTAAGGCTCATATGACACCATAAGAATGAAAAGCAAAAAAAATACCAATTAGACGAAATTTTTTAAGCTAGCTTACATTGGAAATTAACATTTTGTTGCCTTGATAAACTGTGTTTGTCCTTATCTTTTCTTTTCTTTTTCTTCTTCATTTTTTTTTATATGCATACTTCTCTATTATTTTTTCTTTTTTCTCGAAGATGAATATTGTAGATCATCACTAAGTGGGCCTTGGTTTATAAATGGACCCGTTCTGTAAACTTGGCTTTTGTATCATCTTTCATTGATTGTTGTTGCGATAAAGTTGCTATGAACATCCTGAGACATTTTCAACTTTTGTGGGGTTCTCACACTTGCCTGTTTTGGAATGCAAGGCTACTATGCAATAAAAATCAGCATTTTGGATTCAGAGATTAGGTTTGAAAAGCTAACCAGCTCTTTTTATAGAAATGTTCCAAAATCTTAAATGCTAGACTAACAGCATTTATTACATTCCATTATGAACCTTGGTTTGAATAATGAATTATTATAATTAGCCTGTGATATCGAGCTTTGAAATCTAAATTTCAATCTTGCAGGAACTACGTTGTCCAATTTGTGTTTGAGCTTCGGCTTCCTTGGGCAACAGCTGATATTCTTGATCAGCTGGATGGTAACTATGGGGACTTGTCTATGCAGAAATATAGCAGTAATGTGGTAGAGAAATGTCTAAAATATGCAAGTGAGGATCGCCGTGCTCATGTTATCCGGGAACTGATAAATAATGCTCACTTGGATCAAGTCATGCAAGATCCTTATGGCAATTATGTTATTCAAGCAGCACTGCATCAAACAAAGGTTAATTATTTCATTTTATCGTTTTCTCATTTCTTTTGTACCAGAAAAAAAGAATAAGCAATTACTGTTATCTTATATTTGGAAAAAAAAAAAGTATATATTACTACTGAGATTTTTGGTTCAATTACTTTCTGAAACAATTCAAAAAGAAAAAAAAAATGTAGTTGACTAGTAGTTTCTTAGCATTTTCTTTCTCTATAAGATAATTTTGTTGAAATAGTTGTGTGAGTACTGCTCGAGATGATTAAGCGAAAAGGAAAATGTGCCTTTTATTTTCTGGTCATTTCATCTAATCAATTCTTTATATGAGCAGGGAACGCTTCACGTTGCATTGGTGGAGGCCATAAGACCCCATATTCCTGCGCTTCGAACCAGTCCATATGGAAAGAAAGTCCTCTCTAATAATAGTTTGAAGAAGTAATCTATAGGTATGATCGTGTAACTTTTTTTCTTGACATCCTTGACATTCTGCTCGGTCATTTTTAATTTCCCTTCTTGTCGGGCCAATTGTAGGCTTTACACTTGAGTTCCTCAAGAAGTTGCTGTAAATTCTGTAATAAGCAGGTAAAGAAAAGCTCTGAACTCAGCTCTATCGCTTTGGTCTTTTGAAGCTTTAGACCTGGAAAGAAAATTATGAGAAGATGCCTCTTTTGACAACTTATCTGAACCGATGAAAAGGGGAAATTTTGGAGGTTTTTTTTGCTTCTATTTAATTCATCTCTCCTTAGGCAATTTAAGAGCGAATTCCGCTCGCCAGTGGGATCCATATGTTTGTAGATCGGCATTTTTGTTTCTCCTCTCTTTTTGCATAGAAATAAAGAAAGGTGAAGATGTAGAGTTCATTGAGGCTTATGGCATATTTGTAATATGGGTTTTTTTGATCCAAGCTCAATGCTTGGTGGGCAGCTACAGGTTGTAAGGGCTTTATAGGCTACCTGGTTTTGCATGTTTGGCATTCACTCTTGTGATGTACATTTCATGTTCATATGTTGCCAAACTTTGGATATCTATTTATCCTATACATAATTATGCTTCTTTTTCCAAGTTTGATATGCAATTTTTTTTTTCCAAGTTTGGTATATGGAAAAATTTATCCCTTCACTTACGCATAATCGGGGTTAATAAGGGTGCTGAAATTTGAGGCTGGAACTCGATTTGGGTTTAATTAAGTTGTACTTTTCACGTTCGAGGTCAACTCGAATGGATTACTTATTCTCTTGCTTGATTAACATGTTACTAATCTAGCTTAGAGTAGTTGATAGGAAGTAAAATAGTCATGCTGTAGTTCCTCCTTCCTATTCAAGAATAATAAATATCCAGGTTTGAGCAACATAATGTTCATCCCTGGAGACTGATTGGAACAGTTGGTTCATCGGAATTGAAACCTGATCGGAACAAGAAGTTAAACATTTTAAAAATCTTGTCAGTTCCGTACCGGCCATGCCTGGCAACATTCAACCTGTTTGTATAGATACTCTTCTGGAATAGAAGGCCGACAAAATTAGTGCTAACTGAACTCATAAATGTCACACATTTACCCTAATTTAGGGTAGTTATGACCTAACCCTAATGTTTAGTTAGAGCACTCATTCTTGCTGACAAACAAGCTTCAATAATGAAGTTATAGAGGAAAAAATTCAACCAAATAGTTTTAAATTAACTGAATTAGTATAAACTGAATTTTTATAAGAAAAATCAAACTAAATTCACCTGTTTACAAAATTAAATTGGGTTTTTAATTTAATTTTCAGGTTAAATTAATTTGGTTTGTAGGATTTTTTAGATTTTTGTTCCATGGAATAAAAGTCAAATCTAGTAAAAGAATTTTCATTTTTCTATTAAAATCAAAATTAAATGGAATTTTTTTAAAAATGAAATTGAAGGGATTCAATTAGTTCCATTCTGTCTGTTTTACCATATTATGCCCATCCTTAAGTATTTGTTAATTGAGGTTGTGAGTTAGATCTTTTGAATAGAAATAAAATTAATTATAAAATTATTAATATAAATACATATGCCCATTGAAAAACTTTTTTTTTTTTTTAAAAAGGAGGATGTTTTTTGGAGAAAAGAAATATGTGAGGAATATATCTAAAGAATTTTCCTTTATTTGGAAATGATGAAGAAAATATCAAATTAGAATATTTTTCAAATTGGAAAAAAAGAAATGAATGAATTTGAAAAAATACATTGCTTAATGAGAAATAAATTTTATTACTTTTCTTTTTTCATTATTTTGTTTCATTTTATTTGCAAACAAAGGCTTAATGATAAAAGTAAAAGCTGGAAATGACCATAAGATTTTTCTTTTTTTTTTTTTTTCAAGACAAAGGTATATACTTTATAAAAAATGAATAAAATGGAAAAAAAAAAAAGAAAATTAAGAATCTTAGCCATGTGTTCCCTCCTCCAGTCACACTTCACATATTGATACATGTGTTCCACAAAAAGGACACGTGTCATAATTCCATTGAATCAAATCACATACACCCCATTACAGCCACTAGTCATTCTACTTGTAATCCAAAGCCAATTACCCTCTCTGTCTCTCTGTGTCTCTGTCTCTCTCTCTCTCTCTCTCTCTCTAACTTGTACCAGTTTTAACTAACTAATAACATCTTTACATTCCTGAATTCAGGAACAGTAGAAGAGTAGAAGAAGAAGAAGAAGCTGGTGCTTAACCTGACAGCCATGTCTATAGCTTCAAGTAGCTATCCATCTCTCTACTCTTCACCTCCATTTCCAAGAACCAATACTTCCACAAATAAGCAAAACCCACTTGTCTTTTACCAGACCAATCACTTCTTATCCAAAAATTTCTCATTTTTCACCTATTCAACGTCTCTTTCCAATACCCATTTGCTAAAGAACTCCAATTTGACCGTTAATGCATCGGAAACAGAGTCCAAGACACCAAAATCGGGGAGTGGAAGTGAAGGAGGAGAAGAAGAAGGAGAAGGAGAAGAAAAATATGAAGAATATGAAGTAGAAATAGAACAGCCTTATGGGCTTAAATTTGCAAAAGGCAGAGATGGTGGGACTTATATTGATGCTATTGCACCTGGTGGATCTGCTGATAAGACTGGATTGTTCTCTGTTGGTGATAGAGTTATTGCCACAAGGTTTGAGTTTGCTTGTATTAGACAATTTTTATATAATTCGTTAGATTAGCGATTCTAATTGATTAAGCAAAATTAATTGGTTTTCCTAGTTGGTGGAAATTTAATTCGGAGGATTAGCATACTATCAGCAACCAGTTATTGCTTCTGTTTCATGAAACGAATTATGTTGAAATGATTCAATTCTGGTAATAGAATTCAATCTAATTGATAAAAATTCATGCATTTTGATAATATTTCAAGCAATAGGAATTCATTAATGTTTTATTGTTTAGTTAGAATAACTGCAAAACAAAAGTGAATGTACTTAATTATATTTATCCATATTAATAGTAAATTTATGAAAATTGAATTCTTGTTTGGCATGATTTTATTTCTTTCAAATACTTGGTTTTTAGACTTAAAGAATTGAATTGTATCAGTTATATCCTTTCCAAACAGTACAGAGGGAAAAATAGAATTCAATTGAATTGAATTTTTAATTTTCTTTTACTAAGTTTTTAAGAACAGGCCATTTTGGAAGAACTGACGAGAAAATTTAGGGTGAGAATGTGACTTAGAATTCTAAACCTTGTGCAGTGCTGTGTTTGGGACAGAGATATGGCCAGCTGCTGAATATGGAAGGACTATGTATACTATTCGTCAAAGAATCGGTCCATTGCTGATGAGAATGCAGAAGAGATATGGTTAGTTCATATTTAGTCAAAATTTGCAATTCAGGACTTATTGATCCATAGAATAATGTCACTTAGATCTAATAATGTTATTTTTTTTTAAAATCTTTTTTTGCTGTGCTCTCTAGGGAAATTGGATTACGCTGGCGAATTAACAGAGAAGGAAATTATTAGAGCTGAGAGGAACTCTGGTGTAGTTAGTAATAGAGTGAGGGAAATTCAAGTAAGTAATGCTGAATTTTCTTTTATTTGTAAGGTCTAATTCAGTTATGATCAATTTATGTGTTCAAAATTCCTGATTGGTTTCAGATGCAAAATTACCTGAGGAAAAAAGAACAGAAAGCACAAAGAGAGAACGATCTTCGAGAAGGTCTACAACTTTACAAGTAAGGCCATATTACAAAATTTTCTTTCTTTTTCCTTTTCTCTATTTATCTGAATAGGATGTCTATAAGGATGGTCACAGATCACGATCTACGCTGTCAATGAGCTTTGTTTCAGTGGTAATATATAGTTGTGAGGTTCTGAGTTTGAACTCTAGGTGAAGCCGAATCAGACAAAAAGGGAAAATGTGTTCTATTCGACATTCTGCAATTGTGCATGTATCCAGCTAATTTTTCCTGTTCTTTTTGTTTGTGTTTGTTGTTTGGCTAATCGATAAAGAGCTGCCAAATACGAGGAAGCACTGGAGAAATTTGAATCTGTATTGGGATCAAAACCAGAACCAATGGAAGCTGCAGTGGCAAGTTATAATGTTGCCTGTTGTTATTCAAAGCTTAATCAGGTACTGTTCTTGCCAACATTTTTGTTCTTTGATGCACATGTATTTGAATAAGCAGTTTTCTGCAATGAAGTACCTTATTCTGAACCACAAGTATCCTTTAACAGCTAAAAGCTGGCCTGTCTGCACTTGAAGATGCCATGCAAGCAGGATTTGAAGACTTTAAGGTAATGAAAACAATACTATGTATTAATATCATGGACTAGTATATCCCTTGATTGATATAAAAGAATTTTTTTGAAGTACTAGATTCATTTGCAAATAATAGAATTTGGTTTAGTCAATGTCGAATTTCATAAAATTGAATTCACGAGAATGAAATAATCATTTCATGAAAATGCGATGCAATAAATGAATTCCATAAAGTTTTATGGAATTCTTTTATGCTAGTTCAAGCTACCTAAATATTGTCGGTAATGTTAACAGAGAATCCGGACAGATCCTGACCTTGCCAATTTAAGAACATCTGAAGAATTTGAGCCTCTTCTGAAAAGGTTTGATGAATCATTTATCAACGAGAATGCAATCAATGCCATCAAATCTCTATTTGGATTCAACAAGAAATAGAGCCATGAATTGATTCCCACAAAGTACAGGAATCACAGTGGGGGTAATACACACCAACTTACAAGAAGCTAGCAATTGATCTGTTGCTTCAGACAATAAGTTTCTGTTGTATAATTTTGTTTATAGCATTAGCTTCAGGTGAGTTTGAAGAAATTCTGCATGATTTGTTGAATGGTATCTTATTTACCATTCTTTCTTGAAACATCGTCTATAATCTGTAGTCCTCTTGACAGAAGAATGAAGAGCAGAAAGGCAAACAGGATAATCTTGTGCAGAATAAAATTTTTGTCCATTTTTTTAAGTGCAGAATAAAATTTTTTTATTCAAACAGGATAATCTTGTGCTTTTACAGAGATAAAACTGGGAAAAAAAATGAATTTATGAAAATACAAGGGAACCCATTTGGCTGTTACCCAAATGATCTTCACAATACATATTTAATGTTTTATAGGTCTGAAACAACAAGCAACTGCAGTTTGTTATTAAGATATAATATGTTTAGTAATGGAATAAGACTCAGATTTGCTTTTCTTAAGCTTGGAAACAATGTATAATTTTCTCAAAAATTAACTTTTTGCGCAATTTACCCCTTGAATTTATATTAAAAAAAATAAAAAGTCATTTTTTTAAAAACACATTTTGTATCAAAATAAAAGTTTTAATTTAAATAAAATATAATGAAAAAATAATGTAATATTTTATTTAAATCAAATATAACAAAAAATAATTAAACAAAAAATAATAAATATCTTTCAAAACTAAATATTCAATATAATCACATAATTTTATAATTTTTTAAATGAAATATTTTGTTTAATTACGCTGTAATTTTTTGTAACTGTTGAATTTCTAAATAATTTTATATTTTCTAAATTTAAAATTTAAAATAATTTTTATTAATTAAAAATATAAAAAAATTATCTTTTTTTTTAAAAAAAAGATGGGCTTTTGTTCTTTTGATGCAAATTAATTGTATAAAAAGTTTATTTTTGGGCAAATTATACATTATTTCCAAGTTCAAGGATCAAATAGTAATTAACTCTTCATTCTACAGTGAAGAGAGGTAAGACCGAGTGAGGAAAGAGAGTGAGACTGTTTTTGACTCAAAAAAAATCAGGGGTAGGTTGGTTTTGGATGCATAGAAGACGATGAGGAAACTTATGTGGCTGATCCTCCGCTTGATTACTGCCCGGCTAATTGCTGCTGGCGGTTCCATGGCTGGATTTGATTTTTGCCTTACTCATCTGAGTCTTTCACTGCTCTAATTTTGATTTCTCAAGATAGCTAATGGCTATTCAAGGTATGCTTCTTCTTCCTCTTCTATTTTTAGGGTTACCTGTTAAGTTCATGTACATAACATGATCCAGTTTTAAGTTTTATATACGCAATGATATGTATATAATGTGTCTGTATGATTAAACAAATTACTTGCTGCTGACTGATTCCTTTTTCTTGCCCAAGAATTTGATTATTATTCTTTCTTTTTTCTTTGCTGCCTCGGTTTCTATTATAATTTGTTGATTTAGTTGTAGTTACAATTCAGATAGGATAGAGTTGGATTTTGAAGTCTCTTTACTACAAGAAATGGATTATTGGTCTCTGACTAGTGAAATCTCTCAGTTGAATTTCATCTCCAAGGTTGCTAAGTGCTTGCCATTTGAATGGAATATAAACTTTGGATTCGCATGGATCCACTTCTTTGGGTCTCACAGTTATTGTTTAGCAAATCTCATAATGTATGTTTGGATGGAAGTTTTTAAAATAAGGGATTTAGATATGATAGTAGTTCAAATTATGTGAAAGAAAATTTGCACATTCTTCAATTGATTTATTTTTATAAATGTGTATGGAGCTTATTTGATGTGGTTTTGAAATTACAGTTTTTTAATAGTAACAGACAAGCTTCTGTATTGTCAATAAATTGGTAGATAGGCATAGCCATTTTCCAGTTTTCAGAACCGGAACTGTGCGGAACCGGAATTGTGGGTTTGCGGTCCGGTTCTGGTTCCAAATTTTGAGGAACCATGAACCGTCGTTTCTAAGAACCGGTGGTTTTTCAAACTGGTTAGAACCGGCGGTTCCAGCAAAATTGTTTTTACTTTTTCGAAAATTTTTATGAAATCTCCAAATTAGCCCCCCTGATAACTATAAATGGCTATATAATAGCTAGTTTTAAGGTATTTGTGGAAAATTAATTTTTTGGATTTACTATAAATACTCCATTATTTTCATTTATCCTCCCACAAAATTATTTCTCTCTCCTACTCTCTATTCTCCAATTTCTCTAAGCTTTCCCATTTGTAATTGTTGTCCAAATTATTATCAAATAATTTCTCTAAAATTCAATCTTTAATTATTGTCCAAATTATCGTAAAAAAAAAAAAGGTTCAAGCATTTTAAAAAAATTAAGTTCAAGCCTTTTTCTTATTTTTTTAAAAAGTTATTCATAAATATTTAAATTTTAAATTTTCAACAAAAAATGTTCATTAGTTTTTTATTTTATAATTATGCATCCGCCAGAAAACCGGTTGAAACTATTGGTTTTGGAACCGTTAAGGAATCGGAACAAAAACCGTAACTGTTTGTAAAGAAGAAAGATATGAGATTACCTATATGAGATTACCTCTTGTGCCTGAGTTTAAGTTTAAAAGGGGAAGAAGAAATACTATATTAAATTTTAAATGTCTAAAAATCATCATAATACCAATGGTATCATATCCGGATAGTTATTTTATGAAATTATAATCTTTATATATCTAAGATGTCACGTCATGTCGTCCGCCAGAAAAACCGGTTGAAACTATTGGTTTTGGAACCCGTTAGCAGGAATTCGGGGTTTTAGATGCGAGGAAAAACCAAACGAGGAACCTCGTTTTGTAAAGAAAAAAGATAAGAAGATTTACCCTATTATCGAGCATTCCACATCATTCGTGCCTGAGTTTAAGTTACAAAAGGGGAAGAAGAAAGATAGTTTAAAAGCTTGCAAACCTGAGGAATTTCTACTCATGGACTTAGGATATTAAGCAATTCTAGTCGAGAAACTACTTGAAATGCTCGGAAAAGTCCTTAAATAGAGATGGTTGCTTCTTAGCAATAAGATAATATTATCAGAACTTTCTAAACTGGAGCGGGAATCAGTAAAACTATCCCTATGTCAATTCAATTCTATTACATAATCTTTATTCAAATGCAATAAACTAAATTTAGACAGGGATCCCCAAGGTGAGCAGACTCGTGTCCCCGAAGCAATATCAACATATGAAATAAGATCAGGTCTCTTCCTCTTTCATATACTTGAAGCATCAAATCTTCGTATTGAAATGGGAGTTTGTTTCTAATGATCACAAAAAGATCGAAATTGTAAGATCCTTTTGGGTGAACTTCCTAACGCTTGTTTTATCTTTCGCACGCGAGATATTTGATTTCATCTATTGTGTGAGACTCTGAGCAAATTTCTCGCGTTAGATAATGGGATTCATAATGTTAACTTTTTCACGTGATTTAATTAGACTTATAGTTTCTTATCATTAGGGTATTATATAAATTTTTTTTGAAAAAGATTATATAATTACACAGTTGAACAGTCGATTCTAATCTTTTATATAAAGAATTTAAATTTTTTTAGACATTAATTTAAGCTATTTCAATAATTCCAAATGTGCATGAACCCTAAGTATTGCTGCCTAACTCAATCTATGAGTCAAGATTGGTTCTTCAAAGAGTACAGAACTTTCTGGTCAGATTATTCGCCAGAAAAATCTGTAAAAATGTCTTTAAGTTGGGCATGGTGCAATGATTCACAAGGGGGGTGGGGCGAGAGCGGGGGGCGGGCGGGGGATTAGTGACTCATCTGCATTAAATTGATATTTTGTGATCAGATTAGAAATAATCTTAAAGTTAAGTGATATCCTCTGTCTTTTACCTGAAAAAGAAATTACAATCAGCCTAATCTCTAAGGAAATAATTTCATATTAATCACTGTTCGCCTAGGATAGATAGGCGCCTGGTATATTAACTTGGCGTTGCCTGGGCGCTAAAAACTTAGGTTAACGTTTAATAGAAATAGAAAAAAAAGAGCGCCTGGAATATAAAAGAGCTAACGCCATTTTATGGTTGCCTGTTGTTACGGTTAATTATTTAATTATTATTAGTATTATTTACTATTCAGTAATATGATACAATTATTCACTAATGGAATCCTCTTGCTCTGCTGTTTTGTCCTGAAATGCTTGAAAAAGTGTTTATGACTAAAAATGTAATCTTTGAAAATTTTGGATTCAAAATTTTATCAATAAGTATGAAGGTGTTGGTTCTTTCTGTAGAAATAGCAACGATCCGATGACTGATAGCTTGATTTATGAATTAATTACGGGCGTGTCAGGTGTATGAAATACATTAATTGAAAAATAAAATGCGTTTTATCTGACTTTTAGGATGTGGGTTTGGATCCACAGTAAATGCTTCACCGGTTGTGCAATTTAAGTAAATTTGAGTAGAGAAAATTATAAAGAGAGTTTGATTGCTTGAAAAGTAAATTGAATTTGATTACTTGTATTGAAAAGAGTGTTTGTAATTATCAGAAAACGTAAATAAACAGTGTTTAGGAAAAATAAAAACAAGGCTTTTTATAGGCTCCACAGGCAGTCACCAAAAAATCTCTAGTGATTCACGTTACTCACATTGGCTCATTTGGTTTCCATCTTTTGTACATGATGAATAACTTCTCGAGGAGTGCTCTCATTTTCTCAACTGCAACTAATTATCAGAAAACGTAAATAAACAGTGTTTAGGAAAAATAAAAACAAGGCTTTTTATAGGCTCCACAGGCAGTCACCAAAAAATCTCTAGTGATTCACGTTACTCACATTGGCTCATTTGGTTTCCATCTTTTGTACATGATGAATAACTTCTCGAGGAGTGCTCTCATTTTCTCAACTGCAACTCACATATTCTATTACCTCTTTCTTTTAATTAATTAATTAATTGAAATTAATTAATCAATTAATTACTGAAAATAATATTAAATTAAATAAAATCCAAGCCCAAATCTAAAAAATAACAAATTCAAACGGAAGGAACTTGATTTTATTGTAGTTGGTTTTTTCTTTCTTGAACTAATGTTTTATTATTGCTTCTTAGATTAATGTTATTATTATTGCTTTTTGTTATTGAACCACCTATGTATGTAAGCAATGCATGAACTATGAATTTTGTTTTGAACCTGATGAAATTATAGCAAAGTATTAGAAATATTTTTTTTCTGATGTTCAACCTTTTATTAATTTGATTTTCTTATCAATTTTCATATATTTATTAAATTTATATGAAATATAACATATGTAAATACATTAGTTATATGGTGAAAAATTAAATTTTTTTAATATTGTATTAAATATTGAAAAATATTTTTCTAAGTGATTTTTTATGTGATAGCCTATGTTGATTGAAAATAATGTATTTTCCTGAAAGTTGATTATTTGAATATATATTGTAATTTTCACTGAAAGTTATTTACTCATTAAAAACTGATTTCTAGGAACTTAATTTTTTTCGGAGAAGTATGAGGAATGGAGCCTGAAATGGGTGATAACTTATTTTTTGGAAATGAATGGAGCCGAAATGTGTAAAGTGAACCGGGATAATTTTATCAAGTAATAATAATATTTGTTGCTCTATAAATAAATCTCTGTCACTTGCACAAAAGGGATCAAATCAATCATAGGTCTTGGCAGTGCATATCAGGCGGCCAAACAAAATTTTTGAATTAAAAAAAATTGTTGTTATAAACTTTCCCTTTGCGATATTTTTGGCCGATACAATAAGAACTGTTTACTTATGTCATAATATGAGACAAAAGTTAGGAATCTACTTATGTATCAGAGTACGATCCATTTGAGACAAAAGTTAGGAATCTACTTATGTATCAGAGTACGATCCATTGGTTTTAGGATGACAACCAAAGACTAGATCCATTGGTTTCAGGACGACAACCAAAGACTAAAGCCCGGTCCGAGCAAGATAATCGAGACGTCTTTGCGTGGGGCCATTGTTGACGTCCCTTGCATTCCAAACAATTGCAATTGTGGAAATTTTGGAAATAGAGTGGCTGGGTTACTTGTAATATTAGTTTTTATGTATTAAATTCTATTTTATATAATAAATTGGTTTCAAAATAAAGTTTAATTTAATCTTTAGAGTTAATTCTTCAGTCTCTAATTTATAAATGCATATTCTTAATACCCTAATAGGTGCACAAAAAAGAAAATCAAGTTATCACTCAATCTCCAACCTACTTCTCTTATCCCCAAAATTAATATCTATCTATAACTATAATGAAAAATAATAATAAATTATTTTTACTGTTGAGTAAAGAAAGGAAAAATGGGAAGATTATCTGAATTGATAATGGTAATCATTTTGACTATAATGGTAGTATTACTTATCTAGTATATTGGACAAAAGAATGTTGTGCACACACATAAATTCTTGAAACTTTAAAAAGTGATTTAAACTAGAAATATATAATTCTAGTTTTTTTTTTTTTCCAATTGAATAAACACTATTTTATTTCATGTCAAACCAATTTAGAATATAAGAAAAAAATATTAAGAAAATTAAAAATGTTTAATTATCAAGAAGTCGTCTAGTTATTGCAAGCAAGATATAAAATCTCTTATTAAATTAAAGTGATAGTAGTTATAAATTAATTTAATAATGAAAAAAATAATAAAATTATTATTAAGAATAAAATTCTTTTCAGAATTCAATATCGTCGATGGATCTAGGGAAAACTCTTTTCAAAATTCAACATCGTTGGATTTAGGGAAAACTCTTTTCAAAATTCAACATCGTTGATGGAGCTAAGGGTCTCAAAAATGGAGATTTTCTTTTCAAAATTAATAATAATAATAATAATATTATTTCCTTTACAAGAATTAAATTTATTCGTCGTGGCAGTATTGGTACTCTTTCTCAAAAAATATCAACATCACTTGGATTTAGGGAACCTTACTCAAAATTCACATCGGTTTGCATCGGTGAGCTAAGGTCATGGGAATTTTTCTTTTTCAAAATTAATAATAATATATAATATCTATATTATTATTATTCAATTATAATCAGTTGCATTGGTATATTAAAGTTTAAATTATTATATATTATTTAATTTGTCAAATCCAGTCAAAAATTTATTACTACATAACTAAAATTCAATTCGATTCAATTAAATTAATGTTTTTCGTGTTTTTTTTTTTTGATTCGATATTAATATTTATATAATTATTAAAATTTATATTTTAAGAATAGTATTAATATCTAGTTTGACTGATTTTTTGAATATTCTCATCCTAACCTCTTAAATTTAAGGTTTTTTTACTCAATCAAAAACATAAAATTCAAGGAAAACTCTTTTGTATAGAAGATAAAAATTCCAGTCTTTTCAAATCTTCTTAAATTTGAATCTAATTTAAAAAAAAATTGATTCTTTTCTATCAAAATCAAAATCAAACTGAATATTTTATACAAATGAATATAAAATAACATTCCAGTCTTTCAATTCTTCTTAAATTTTGAACTAATCTCTAATAAATTTAGTTAGAAATATGTAACTATATATGTAAACATATACAATTCTTTTATTATTATTATTAATATATTGTTTTAAAAATTAGTTGTTGGTCTAAATATTTGAAAAAAATAGGTTTAAAATATATGTATTTCCAAGATTTTATTCTAAACCAAATCGCAGGGCCAAAGACTTTTGACACACAACCAGCAATGAGATGAAGACATTATTTTAAAAGATTTTGCTCTTTTGTTTTGATACGGAATTATGCTTATGTTTAACAGGAATTTGTTTTTGGTTTTACTGAAAATATTATTAACTTTTTTTTAAATCAGAGGGAGGTTTAATAGACCGAAAACACGATGGATTAAATAATTTTTTTATTTAAACCTCCCTTAATACTTCTCACTTCTCATATTAGTGAGAAAATTCAATTTTTTTTTACTGGTTGAAAAATTTTATTTAATTGAAAAAAATATGAAACTTATTGTGAATTTCATGTTGAAAATATGAGATTTTAATATGGAATTTATATGAATTTTGACTCTCCAACCTTAACCCCCCTTTTTTTTTTTGAGGTATGATTTTCCAAGTTAAAAAAAGAAGGGAGAATTGTAGTACAATTCGTACGATTTGCAAAATACAACTAGTCCGTCCTATCTTTTTTGAAATAGACTAAAATATCCTATAATTTACTTTCGTCAACTATAAGGTCATTCTGTTCAATTTTTGCATCTTTTCTGGTAAGTACCTTATAAAATGATAACAATACTCTTTTTATTTTTAAAAATACAAGGATGGACTAGTTATATTTTTCAAATTACAGGGACCTTTTTTGATATAATATTTTAATATCTCTTTTTTGGCCTCTGTGCTTTCTTGTTGACGGAACGGGAATGATGAAAAATTAGACAAAAATACCTAATAGTGTAACGGATGTAAAATATATAAAAAAAATTGTATATTTAAAAAAAAAGGACCTGACTAGTTATATTTCACAAACTAATTGATATTTCCAAAAAAGAATAATAATAAAAGAAAACGTCAACTAAAGAATAAACATCCTCTTTCCACTAAAAGGACAATCAAATGTGCTTTTTTTTTTACTATGTTTTATTATTTCACAAACTAATTTGAAATATTTCCAAAAAAGAATAATAATAAAAAGAAAACGTCAACTAAGAATAAACACTCCTACTTTCCACTAAAAAGGAACAATCAACAATGTGCTTTTTTTTTTTTTCCCTATAACCTTGTACTATAGTCTTATCACCTGACCGATGGACTTAATGCTCCAAAACAAAACCTCTTAATCTCCAACCCTTCACCAGTAGTCCCATTGACCCTAACTTGTTTTTTTTTTTCCTATAACCTTGTACTATTAGTTTACCCCGACCGATGGACTTAAATGCTTTTTTTTTTTTCCTATAACCTTGTACTATTAGTTTACCCCGACCGATGGACTTAAATGCTCCAAAACAAAACCTCTTAATCTCCAACCTTTCACCAGTAGCCATTGCCTATTGTCATGTGAACTTATTTATAAAGCAGCCATTACCAACTCCCACTTCACAAGAACCCAAAAATGGCTAATCTACACTTTCTATTCCTACTTCTCATTTTCTTCACTACCGCTTCTCTTTCTTGTCCAGATTATCAGAAACAAGCCCTTCTTCAATTCAAATCTTTGGTGATCAAAAACATTAATTCTTCTTCTGATAATTATTCTCTTTTTGGCTTGGATTCATGGGATTCAACCTCAGATTGTTGCCAATGGGAATCAGTGACTTGCGAGTCTCAATCAAGTTCAAGATCAGTAGCAGCTCTTAATCTTGACTCTTTTGTTGTTTCTGAAGTTCCAACTATACCAATGCCTTCTTCAGTATTATCACCCCTTTTTAGCATTAAATCCTTGATGTTTCTTGACATTTCTTCTAATGGTATAGTTGGTGAGATTCCAACTGATATGTTCACCAATCTTACAAGATTAGTTCATCTAGATATGCGGGTCAATCATTTTAGTGGATCAATTCCTTCAAGTATTTTTAACTTGAAATATCTCCAATTTCTTGATTTAAGCAGCAATTTCTTGAATGGTATGCTAAGCAAGGAAGTGGGTTTTCTCAAGAACTTGAGGGTACTAAAGTTGGCAGAGAATCTTATTGGAGGAAATATTCCTCAAGAAATTGGAAATCTTACAAATTTGCAGCAGTTGAATCTAGCCAGTAATAATTTCATGAGTAGTATTCCATCTTCTGTTCTTCATCTGAAAGAATTGCAGGAACTGGATTTGCGAGACAATCCTTTATCAATGGAGATTCCTGCTAATATAGGCAACTTAACCAACTTGACTACTTTAGCTTTGAGCAATAACAGGATAACTGGAGGAATTCCACTATCAATGAAGAAACTAAGCAAGTTGAAAGTTCTTCGACTGCAAGATAATTTGCTAGTTGGAGAAATTCCAACATGGTTGTTTGATATAAGGAGCCTCCAGGAACTTTATCTTGGAGGGAATAATCTGACTTGGGATAGCAATGTAAAGTTAGTGCCAAAATGTATGTTATCTCAATTGTCTTTAAAATCTTGCAGGCTTACAGGAAGCATACCAGAATGGATTTCAACGCAGAAGACTCTTAATATATTGGATTTGAGAGAAAATATGCTTCAAGGAACTATCCCTCAATGGCTAGCTGAAATAAAACTGAGCGCGATTGTTTTGTCTGATAATAAACTCTCAGGTTCTCTTCCTCCTGGTCTGTTTGAGTCGCAGAGTTTATCTATTCTTGCCTTGTCAAGGAATAATTTCTCAGGAGAGCTGCCTGATAATATTGGCAATGCCAATGCAATTATAGTTCTTATGTTGGCTGGAAACAACTTTTCTGGACAGATTCCTGAGTCCATTTCCAAGATTTATCGCCTTATGCTGTTGGATTTATCAGGAAATAGATTTTCTGGGAAAATCCCAGTTTTGGGAAATGCATTGTTAGCTTATATTGATTTCTCTTCTAATGAGTTCTCTGGTGAAGTTCCAGTTACCTTCTCTGAAGAAACAATGATACTTTCACTAGGAAATAATAAGTTCTCCGGAAAATTACCAAAAAACATCACTAGCTTGACCAAGCTTCAACATCTTGATCTCCATGACAACAACATTACAGGTGAATTACCATTATTTCTTTCCCAATGCTCCTCTCTTCAAGTCCTAAGCTTACACAACAACACCCTTGAAGGTTCTATTCCTACTCCACTGACAACAACATTTAACAGGTGAATTATCCATTTAATGCGTCCACCAACGTTGCTCCCTCTTCAAGTCCCTAAGCTTACACACAACAACCCTTGAGAGGTTCATTCCTAACACCATTACCAATCTCATAGCCTCCGAATTCTTGATTTTGGTCGAAACAACAATCTCAATGGTTGAAATTTCCGGTCAGTTTGGAAATCTGCTTGGAATGGTTAAACACCAAAATACATTTATATCAATGGAAGATATATTCACATTCCATTTGAGTTCAATGACCTTTGGTAGTCGAAATTGGGAAAAATGACGAAAACAAGGTCTCTCAAAGCCGAAGCCTTGATATCTTACTCCTTCACTTGACTTGGTCAAACAATCAACTTTCTAGGTGAGATCCTACTTACATTAGGTCATTTTAAAAGGGTCTAAAAATATTGAACATTTCATATAACCAAATCTCCGGTAAGATACCAGAAAGTTTTGGGTGATTTAGAGAAATGTTAGAAAGCTTGGACCTTGTCACAGGATCAACAGACTATCAGGCCCATTCCTCAAAAACACTAACCAAAGTTGCAAACAACTTTCTACAGCTGATGTCAGCAACAATAAACTTGAAGGTCAGATTCCGGTGGGAGGTCAATGGAACTTGATGGACATTCCTAGACATTATCTAATAATAGTGGCATTGTGTGGTATGCAAATTAAGGTGCCATGTCCAACAGAACAGCCACTCCACTTGCAGAGTCACAAGAAGAGGAAGGATTGTTTTCATGGGCAGCAGCAGGGATTGGATATTCCAGTTGCGCATTTTTACATCAGTAGCAATAATATTTTTACTCGGATTTTATCGGTGGCTACCACCGGCTCGAGGTCACCAGCTCTAGGCATACACAAGAAGCGAAGCGTTTAAGGTTATTGGCATGAATTCTGCCAGCATAGTATGCTGGAGTAAATGATTCTCTTTGCAAGCAGAAGAAATGGTGAAAAAAGTAGCCTAAGAAGTAGAATTAGACTTGTAAAGAAATATAGAATAGTAGTAAGAGAAAAACAACTAAATAAGACATTAGCAATATATTGTTACTCTTTTAACTTTATGCTTTTCTTATCAAGAAGTGAAGGATGTGCAAATTATCTCGCTTTCCTGCATAAATTTGGGTTGAAGAATCTGCAGAAACACTGCAATATTTCTTTTCCTTTCGCGAGCTTCCAAAATAAAAAAAATGCAGCACCTTCATCTATTTTCCTAAACTTAGCCTCAGAATAATATAGAAATAATAAGAATGGATTCTATTAATCCCATTTATATGAAAGAAAAATTAAACTTAGCAGAATTTGATTGTGAAGTGTGTATGGAATTTCTATAATCGCTAATAAATTTAAATTAACAACAATTTCATGCATTTCTTAGGGAGAATTAGTTCTAAATAACTTTTAGCATATATTTCTTTCCCTTAGAAATATCTTGAATTGGAGAAGTAGGAATGTCTCAATAACCAAAAATGAATGTAAACCTGAATGTGTTCTCCTTTGTAAGTAATAATCCTTTTGCTGAGGTGACAATTCCTTTTCTATTTTTTCCTTGTGTGATTGAGCTGTCAATACAGCAACCTTTTTTCTTGTGTGATTGCAGCTGTCAATCCAGCAACTTGTTTGAGGGATGATAATTGAATGTCAAAGAATTATGCAGGAACAGCCACTACAGTACTTTGTTTCACTACCAGTATCTTCGGTTTCGGTTTCACTAAAGAAAGATCAACAAAGTGTATTATCAGAATATATGAATAGCATGTCTTTATCAATAATTTATGATTTCTAATGTGTATCTCAATACCTTCAAACTTGTTCTTCAATAAGATTGGACAAACAGAAATTATTGGCATGGAGAATTCTTATCTCCACCATGTTTTAGAAAAATACATCATTAAATTCAAATGATGAAAGAACTTATTCGACGACTTGTTGAGATCAAAGCTTCAACTCTAGGAATTAAAGCCAAACATAAACCTATCCTGCCCAGAAACTCTATTTTCTTCCAAAGCTGAGTTTTCATATTCATGATTTAATATAAATTGTGTTTTATGGAACAAATTCATTAAAATATTTTCCCTAAAACAAAAGAATCTATACTGTTTTACTCGCAATATATATCAAAAGCTAAATCCAACATTGACAATAGCTAAGATGCTTTAGTAATCACCAATTCACCATAGCTAATATGCTTCTTTTTTTTTTTTTCCCAGTAAACATTGACAATAGCTAAGATGCTTTAGTAATCACCAATTCACCATAGCTAATATGCTTTTTTTTTTTTTTTCCCAGTAAAAAAAAAAAAAAAAAAAAAAAAAAAAAAAAAACCTGTACCAAATTTCTTCTGCAGATAACCAAATAGGATTTATTGGTTTTATGAAACTTAAAAACAAATATGATTTCAATATATAAATTCAAATAATTAAAATACAAAAATGGCAAAGAACATTTGAATTCCTTAAGAACCAAACAAAAAATGGAATCCTATTTTAGGAATTGGATTCAATGAACTTACAATGATTCATCTAATCATTCATCTAATCTGATAACCTTTTCTTTTAAATTTCAAGTTCATTCTCTCCCCCATTTTTTGGCAAGAACAATAAATGAAGGTAAGTCATAAAATTAATGTGATTTTCCTCAATCTCAAGTTCTAAAAATAAATGCAGATGTCAAGCCCCAAAAAAAAAAAAAAGGAATTAAAGTAGACAGAAGAAAAATAACTAAAGAAAGTACGAACCTGGATTCAAATTCTCTGATCTGAACAAGTTCTTTCCCTAAGAAATCCATCCATTGTACTCTTTTCTTCTGAACTTCTTTTGAACCCAAAGTTCCTTTTGAAACCCAAAAGCAGATATTTTAAGACCCACCTTTTTGTGTGCAATTCTTAGAGGCTGCATATTGTCACTACTCTACATCTATACATTTACAACTCTCTTCTTTCACTTCCAATGTGACTCATTTGAGACCACATTATTCATAAGAGAAAAAAAAAAAAAAGGAATTAAAGTAGACAGAAGAAAAATAACTAAAGAAAGTACGAACCTGGATTCAAATTCTCTGATCTGAACAAGTTCTTTCCCTAAGAAATCCATCCATTGTACTCTTTTCTTCTGAACTTCTTTTGAACCCAAAGCAGATTTTTTAAGACCACCTTTGTTGCAATTTTGAGGCTGCAATTCCTCTCCATCTACATTTACACTCTCTTCTTTCACTCCAATGGAGTCATTAGACACATTATCATAAGAAGAAGCAGTACCAACTGATATAACTGTACTTGAAGATACATGAGGGCTATTTTCCAATTTTAATGGCCCTGCTTTATATAAAGTAGTAGAAGGCTGGCAAAAGCAAATTAAAGAACAATGGATCTTGCAAATCAAAACCCTCATCAACAAAAAGGGAAAATTTCTTGATTTGAGCATGAACTAAATATTAAGCCATTTTATAACTCCACATGGATCTAAATTCTGAAGTTAAATCTCTTATTTTTTTAGAATATTTGAACTAAAACAGAGCCTAATTAAGCTTTTTTGGTTTTTGCATATGTAGTCAAATTTTGAATTAGCAAATCAAAATCTTTTAAAGGAAAAAAGAAAACCCACGTAGAAATTCGAGTTTTTTGAGGGTTTTGATAATGAATTAAAACTCCATTAATGAAAATGGGCAACCTCTGTTTCTGTCTCCCCTGTTTCCCTGGTGGCAGGAAAAGACAAAAGCCTCGTAATCTTCCTTGAAAGAAAACAATTTCTGTAGATTAATGAAAATGACAATGCTACCCTTTTATACCAATTCACTTCAAATGCGAGTATTTTCAATTCACCACTGGAACAGTAGAAAACAGAATTTAATCAGATGGGTAATAGCAACAAAAAGAATGCAAAAACTTCAGCTTCTTATACAGAGGAAGAGAGAGGGAGAGAGAGAGAAGATCCAATAGGATTATTTCTTGTTCAGATTACACGTGTCAAGAACAAATCTTTGGTCTTTGATATGTTCTAATTCTATTAGAATAAAATCCTGTTAAATATGAAAAAAATTGTTATAAGAATAAATGATTGCAATGCAAACAATATGTGAAGGGGATAATTTGCTCTGATGCATGCATGCTTTGAATTTTTGATGAATATATTTATAAATTCTAGAGAATCAAAGTAAAGTGAAAGATGTTTGATGTTTTGGAGATCAACTGTATTGAAAAAGAGAGCTTCAATTGTAAGGTTATTTCCCAAATATAAGTATGTGAAAATATTTTCCAAACTATGATGGTTTTTCAATATTACGCTTATTGTATTAGAGAGAATAACTATGTTTACAAGTTATTCTTAGTAGGTATCGGTTGTTTAATTAATGTTTCATCAAAGGATTAATTATAAATTTGGTGGTTTAACTTTTGAAAAGAAAAATTCTATTTCACTGTCTCAACGGATAATAGAGTAAAAAGTAATTATTATACTAGAATTTAGCAAAAAGTAATTATTGGATAAAATTAATTTATATGCTCATAGAATTTAGCAAAAAGTAAAAAAAAAATCAAAATTATAAATAATGATTAATATACTAGTTATTAAACTAGCTATCTATCTATAATTTATAATACAATATAAATTTAAAATGTAATAAAACAAATCAAACTAATACTTTTTTTAGTATAAGTCAAACTAATACTTACTTTGAGAAATTTTTTTTTATTTTATTATTTCATAAAATATAAAATATTATTTTTTTCTATTATGAATTTTTTAGATTTTTAGTTATATAATTAATTCATAATATATATTTATAATAAATAATATTATAATTTATAATAAAAAATAATAGAAAATTATATATATACATTTACTTGCAATGTGAAAATCAACTGTTTCAAACAATGTGCAACGGAAGTTCGAGAAAACTAGTAAACAGAAAAGAAAAATTAATATTTTTTGAAAATTAAGACCCTAAAAAAATTACAATAATATTGCCAACCTATAATAAATGGGTAAATCTATTTAATAGTTGTTTTACCTCACTCATTTAAAACCAATTAAATAATAAATTTAAAATAAATTATGGGTCCTAAAATTGATTTTACCGTATTACTATATTAAGGCTGAAAAAAAAAAAAAAAAACTGATCGTAAAATTCCTCTCTAGCTTTCTATTCCTTGTATTCTTCTAGATTTTCTTTCTAAACTATTATAGCCGACTGACTTTTTGGGTTCTCGGTGGTTTCTTTTTGTCTCTTTCTATCATTTTTCTTTATTTTATTTAATTTTTTTAGTCTCTTAGTGAGTCTTGAGTATTTTTGATATCATCTTGCGCTTTTATTTGGATGTAGGGAGAGATGGATCATAATAAAGTATGGTACGAGAAAATATATTAAATATCTTTTTTGTGTTTGTGGAGAAGATATGGTAAACGAAAGTTTAATAACATTATTTTGTTTGGTTTGATGGTGGAGGAAGGTAGTGTTAAATATAAATATTATGAAAATACCCTTGCCATGGAAGATTTATAAATATAATTACGGATAATTCTGAAAATTAAAATTTTTAACCATGCTTACACTCCAATTTGGGGCGTTAAAGATTGGGGTGTTTAAATAAGTTTTCAACTCCTCAAATAACTTTAAAAAAATCATACTCTCTCTCTTAAACTTTCTTTCCAAACAACTAAATAATCCCCTTATACCTTACTTTACTGTCTAAACCTATTAAATAACCTCTATCCAAACAATCTATTAGTTCTTAGTCAGTTTTTAGTGTTTAGTACCCTCTTTATGAGGTTATTAATTTATCTCCTTTCATTGGGTTGTTCCTCGTTATTGAAGAGTTTTATCTAGTTGTCGCTTGTGGTTGGAGACTTCAGATTTTCAAGTTCAGATAAGTTTCTTTTTACCAATGAAATCTAGTAATGCGACATGTTCCTCCATTAAAGTTTGATATATTAAACTATTTTACGGGTGTAAGTTGTAATAAATTTTCAAAAAAACAATATTCGGAAGAATATATAGAAGGTTTTTTTGTCGTCATATTTAAAAATGGACCCGTTTTTACTCGGAAAAGTAACCAAACATATTATGATATACTAAACTTATATTCATTATTTTCAAAAAAAAAAAAAAATTAAAACAATTTTTAATACAAAATCAATTTTTAAACGACGGTAGTTATTAGGGATATTATTATATTGAAAAAAATGGACCCGGTTTATTAACTCGGAAAAGTCAAACCAAAACAATATTTATGATATACTAAATCTTATATTCATTATTCCAAAAAAAAAAAAATTAAAAACACATTTTTAATAACAAAATCAATTTTTAAACGACGGTAGTTATTAGGCAGATATTATTGTTTCTTGGCCGAATTGTTTCAATCTATATTCAATGTTATGAAAAATATATGTTTTTTGAATTTTTGATTTGAAAAAAAAAAAAAAATTAAAACAATTTTTAATACAAAATCAATTTTTAAACGACGGTAGTTATTAGGGATATTATTGTTTCTGGCCGAGTTTCAATCTAATTCTATGTTTTGAAATATAGTGTTTGAATTTTGATTTGAAATTTAAAATTTTGAGATTTAGTGTATTTAGAACACATTGAAGGTAGGAAATTCATCACTTATAAATTTCCACAATCTTTATATATCTTATTAAAATCCAAATCCATAAATATTAACTAATCCAAATGGATTTTATTCAGATCCTAATACAAAGTTCAAATCCATAAATCCAGACACAGCATTAGATCCTTTAAATTGTACCAAGCCAACGACAGAAAATAAGATTTTTCTTTCTAAATGTACCTTTAACCATCCTAGTCAAAATAAAAAAATCTCTCTCCATCCGATTAAGTGATCATCCAAACTCATCTTCGAGCAAAAGAAGACTACACTATGTTGCATTTAAATTGTAATTTTACATGATATGCAGAAATGCTTCAGAAATGCAGAAACGCTCACGGTCAGGAGTTTCTGTGCACCACTGAGACTACATTTTCAAGAAAACATAACTCCTGAAGGAAAGTTCAGTTGCTTTTCCATATAAGCAGAAATTCTGAATACACTAACTTTAACAGGCCACTGGGGAAAAGTTCTCTCAGATTCCAGATCTAATTATACAATTGAGACCTCCAAAAATGTGTTGGGATTATAACTGATCCCGAGTGGGGCCCGCGGAAAAATACTCCAATAATTACGTATTGGATATTGACGATCAAATTCACCAGAAATAATAATCACGGTAAAAAATTAAAATAATTAACGTAAATGTCAAGATGAAAAATAAGAAACACTGAGATTTACGTGGTTCATCCTTCAACTGTTTATGGGCTACGACGTCCACAGGGACAAAAACTCCGAATAGTTTCTTCCACTAAAAAATAGTAGGTACAAAAGAGATTACAAAAATAGTGGCACTCTAAGTGTTTAAACAAAAACACCCCAAAAATTACAATACTCACTATTTTCTCTCTTTCCCAATTTTAGGAACCCTTTCCTAAAATTATAATATTTATTTTTTTGTTTTGTTTTTGTACGCTTTGAAGTGAAAATCCTTCTCCTTTTTATAGGAGAGGGGACGCAGTGGACGTGTTAATCACGCCTTCAAGCCATCTTTGTTGAAAAAATTTTTTTCTTCAAAAAAAACGTGCGTACACATTTTCCTTTTTTCTTCTTCGTTTTTTCTTTCTTTCATAGTCTTCTTTGGCTGCCCAAAACAAAACGTGTTTGTTGCTTCTTTTTTTTTCTTTCTTCAAACTTGTGTGGGTCCCACATGTTGGAGGGATCCCACAACAATTCTCCCTCTCCCGACTACATGGTGGGACTCTCCATTCCTGCTACTTTGACACACAATTCGAACTTCTCCTTCGGAACGACCTTTGTATATCTGCAGCATTTCTATCTGTGTGGATTTTTCACTACTGGAACTGTTTCTCTTCAATGGCAAATCTAAGCCAATGATATCTTACATCAATGTGCTTTGTCCGTGCATGATACATAGTCCTTTTGCTCAAGTTTAACGCACTTTGATTATCACAATAAACTATATATTCTTCTTGCTGCACACTCAATTCTTGAAAGAATCGCTTTAACCAAAACATTTCCTTTCCTGCTTCCGTAGCTGCAATGTACTCTGTTTCGGTAGTTGATAATGAAAAATATTTTTATAATCTTGATTGCCATGAAATAGCTTGCCATGAAATAACTCCCCCTGAGAATGTAAATAGGTATCCTGATGTAGATTTTCTTTCATCAAGATCACCGGCCATATCTGCATCTGTATAACCAACAAGTGCAGATTTTTCACCTCCAAAAGTTAATAACATAACTTTGAAGTTCCTCTCAGGTATTTGAAGATCCACTTCACTGCTTCCCAATGTGTCTTCTGGGAATTTGACAAAAATCAGCTCACAACGCCAACTGCATGAGCGATATCTGGTCTCGTACACACCATTGCGTACACTAAACTTTCGACCGCTGAAGAATATGGAACATTTGACATATCATTTGACATATCTCCTTTTCTTTCTCTGTTGATGTGTAGGATTTCTTACTCAACTTGAAAAGTGAGCGGCAAAGAGGAAGTGCCTAACTGGTTTAGCATTTCTTCATATTTGAACCTCTCTAGAACTCGTTCAAATATATTTTTCCCCTGCGATAACCATAATCTGCAGGACTTTCTGTTCTCGAAATAATCTCCATTCGAGAATTCGCCTTGCCGATCCAAATCCTTCATGTCACAATGTTTTTGACAAATCTCCTTTAACAACTCTATCCATGTGTGCATCTGGTCAGACGATTAGCATATCATCAACATATAAGAGAAGGATGATAAATTTACCATCAGGGAATTTCTGAACATATGACACAAGGATCTGCATTTTTTCCTTTTGTATCCTTGATTCACCATGAAAGAATCAACTTTTTATACCACTGTCCGCGGTGCTTGTTTTCAAACCTTACAAGCTCTTTTCAAGCGACAAAACCATGTCCCTCTTTCCCTTGAACCCCTGAAACCTTCTAGTTGTTCCAATATAGATTTTCTTCCTCTAGATAACCCATGTAAGAAAGCGGTCCTTTACATCAAAGCTGCTCTAACTCAAGATTCAAATTGGCTACTAGAACCTGCCAACAACTCGAATAGAACTCATTTCACAACTGGTGAAAAAAATCTCATCAAGTCAATACTTTCTTTTGAGTAAAGCCTTTGACGACCAATCGAGTTGTATCTTAACCTAAGGTTGCTAATCATCTTTCTTCAGTTTGTAACACACCATTTTATTCTGAGTGTTCTCTTCCCTTTTGGAAGTTTCACCAGCTCATATGTGTCATTCCTTTTCAAAGAATTCATGTCTCTTCTTTGCATGGCCTTTCTCAGCAATCTCTATCTTTACAAGATGCACATCTTATCTAGCTCCCCCTCATCAGTAATCAAAATGTAATCAGAACTAATCAGAACTAGGGTACCTTGTAGATGGTTGGCATTCTCTGGTTGACCTTCTTAACTGAGGTTCAACTCCTTCTGGTGGAATGGGGTTCTCTGGCTCTCCCTGCTCAACACCCTCCACATCACTGTTATCATTTACAATCGTCTCTTGATTCCCCATGACTGGCTCTTCTTCTTCTTCCCGTTCTGATTCTGGCATTCCTCCTCTCGTTGCATCATCTGTAGGAATGCTTCCTGGTGTAATATCAACAACACCATCAATTGTGGATTCTTCACAAGTTGTATCTGCCACGATCTCATTCTCATGGAATACTACGTCTTGGCTCCAGGACAACTTTCTTTTTCTTTGGGTCCCACAACCTGTAGCCAAACTCTTTTTCTCCATAACCGGCAAAAGTGTAAGGAACTGACTTGTCATCAAGCTTTGATCTATGCTCCTTTGGCACATACATAAATGCCTTGCAGCCAAATACCCTCAGGTGAGAGTATGAAATATTTCTACCTGTCCAGACCTTCTCCAGGATATCAAAATCCAAAGGTGCTCCAATGGTGTGAAGGTAGTCGGTTGATTAGGTAGAACAGCTGTGTTGACAGCTTCTCCCCAAAATGCTTAGTAAGTTTGGCCCATTTTGAAGGCATGAACTTACTCTTCAACAAATGGTGCGATCATCCATTCAGCAACACCGTTTGTGTTGAGGCGTACCAAGGAACTGTCTTTTTCATCGCCTGATACCGTGCATGACTAACAAATAATCTCTAAAACTCCTTAGAGAAACTCACCACAATTAATCCGTGCGCAACACTTCAATGCCACCTCCAGTCTCCCTTTCCAACCATAGCATGGAATTGCTGAAAAGTGCTTGAATAACTTGGTCTTTTGTGCACAACAATATATATCCATGTTTTTTCGTGAGAATCATCAATGAAAAGGTAAGAAATACTACTTCCCCATAGTGATTCTACTTCCATGGGACCGACATACATCAGAGTGTACCAACTCCACTTGTTGTCTCTC